GGTAGGGGTGATACAGTCCTATTTCAAAAATTCAGAATTCCAATCTGACCATTCGTGGACATAATGCTTCCTTCTTTCCCCTCGTGGCAACTCTAGGCTAGCTTAGCTGGTAAATCCTCCGAATGTCTCCTGCCAAACTTAACTCCAGTTCAGGTGCCTGAATTCTCCTGTTGGACTGACTGGTCTTAGATAATAAAGATAATAACCACTTGGTTGAGTGCACTGCTTACCCAATTCCCCTAAGAAGGCCAAAGTGGGAGGCACAATAGGTCTCTGTAAATTTTATAAAAATGTCTTTTTTCCTCTTTTATCTGATCTTTTTGCACGAGAGGTCAGGGTATGGGTAGGGGATGATTGGCAAAAAGGTGAATTATAGCTACTGGAACAGGATACCATGATTTTGTAGCAATGGTGACAGAACAACTACCCCACACCTGAGAATGGAACACCTTAAACTCTCAGTACTGTCCCTGGAACTTTCCTCACGAAGAAAATGCTCTGGTGAAACTCTCCCAAAATGTTTCACTAAGAGAAGAATTTTGGAAGTTATTTTCTTTCTACTGATTGAAAATGACTTTATTATTTTTCAGGTGTCCTTTGGTGCTTTTGAAATGTTATTTGTCACTTTAGTGTCACTATTTCTTTAAATGAGAATTCACCTTTTCTTCTCTGAATATCTGAAAGATTTTTTTAGTCTTAAGTGTTCTGGAGTAATAGTATAAATGAATCTAGGTATGAGTTTCTCTTAATTTTCCTGATTTAGAATTTGTTGGGCTTCATGAAATTACAGGTCATCTTTTCATTTCTGATAAATTTTTGTTAATTATCTCCTTAAATTTTGCCCCTGGACCACTCTCTCTCCTTTCCTTTTAGAATACCAATTAATGTATATCAGACCTACTCACTCCCCTTTCTATGTCTTTCGCCTTTCCTCCATATTTTCCATCTTTTAAGCTGGTTGTGTTACAGGTCAGGTAATTTCTTCTAATATATCTTCCAGTATACTAATGTTCTTTTGAGTTGTTTCTAATCTGCTATTAAACCTGTGTTCAAGTCTCTCAATGACACAAACAGTTTGTGCTCAGCTACTGAGAGGTTGGTGGTTCGAATGCACCCAGAAGTACCACAGAAAAAAGGCCTAGTGATCTACTTCAGTAAGAGTACGTTGAAAATCATATGGACTGCATTTCTACCCTGACACATGTGGGGTCACCAAGAATCAGAATCAACTGGACAGCAACAAGTTTTCTGTTTTTCTAACTTTATTTTCAGAAGATATTATCGGTTCTTTTTCAAATGCGCTACATCATATTTTGTAGTTTCCTGTTTACTGAAGACATTCTCAATCTTTTATTTCCTTTAAAATCGAAAACACAGTTGTATCAATCGAAATATCTGAACACATGAGAGCATCTTGCTCTCTATTGTTTCTGCTGATTCTCACAGTGCCTTGTTTCCATGTAGCTTGTAATTTTTGTCTGGTAGTGCTTGTCGAGTTTCAAAAGTTACTAAAGGGGGTTATTTGAGGCCTAGGATAAAGACGCCTTCCTAATGAGAGACTGTACTTTTGATTTTGCCAGGACCCAGAGGCACCACAAACCCAACACCATTTAAAACTAAATTTGCAAGTTGAGAGTTACTAGACTACTACATTGAGACAAATTTCAGCTACAAAACCATGTAACAGCTAGCTGACTTTTGGTACAGCTCAATGACAAACACTACCACCAACAGCACCCCTCAGGCAACTATCTTTGTAGACAAATTCCATCAAGTCAAGGTGACTTTCAGTGTTCTGTGGGTTTCTGCTTTTGTTTCCAGTCTTTCATTTTAGTCTTTACTATCTTAACAATTCTTTAATACTTTTAAGAAGATTTAAATATATTTTATATCCTATAGAAACAACATTTTCTGGTTATTTTTACCAGAAAATCTGGTCTAAATAATCTCTGGTTGTTTGTTGTTGTGTGCCATCACATCAATTCTAATTCATAGTGACTCTATAGGATACAGCAGAACTGCCCCATAGGGTTTCTCCTAGGCTGTAATCTTTGCGGGAGAAGACCGCTAGGTCTTTCTCCCATGGAGCCACTCGTGGGTTCAAACCACAGACCTGGTTAGGAGCCGAGTACTTAACCATTGCGCCACCAGGTTGTCTTCTAAATAACCTAGTCCACCATATTTCTTGAAATAGTTGGAGATGCATTCTTTGTAAAAATGTCAGCTAGAACCTAGCCCCTACCTCCTACCCCGCTGGTTCAAAGTCATTACCAGAAGAAAGCCATTTTCATAAGATGTAGGACATAGACACAAACAAGTCACTGTAATCATCAGCCAATGCAGTTTATTAGATACTCCATTAGTTCCCTATCTCAGCAAAGATAACCAAAAGATAACTGTAATAAACATATACAATTCTGGCATTAAGAGAGGAATTATATTAGAAGCATACTTTAGAATTGTTTAACATACTTAAGAAATTTTGCCATGAAATTTATGGGCGCCTGAACATGATTTGGTTTGCAAGATGTAAAAAGATAGACTTAATTTCACCTAATTATACACAATAATGGAATATTCCAGATGTATAAATTCATATTAAAGTATGTCTACTGAATATGGAGCCCTGGTGGCACAGTGGTTATGAGTTTGGCTGCTAACCAAAAAGGTCAGCAGTTTGAACCCACCAGCCACTCCTTAGAAACCCTATGGGGCAGTTCTACTCTTTCCTATAGGGTCGCTAGGAGTTGGAATCAACTCGATGGCAATGGGTTTGGTTTTCTCTGGTTTACTGAAATACAATCATAGACAAATGATTCAAGGACTTCATTTGGCAAGATTCTGTCATATGAAATTGAGTAATGAATAAACAGTTAAATTTACTTTTAAACATGACATGAATTTTTCTTTTAAAATACATCATTTTCCCTTTTCAATTTAGTCCTAAACCTTAAAAAAATCAATGGGAACAAACACATCTCTACCAACGTATTAGCTAGAATTCTCACATTCCCTCTTCTGCTACTACAATTTGATTTACATATGTGCTTATTAACTGCACATTTTGCATTTAACATTCCCTTGTTAACTGCAAATTTTGAAATCTATGCAAGAGAAGAGAACAATATTTTGTAACAGCAAATTAGTATGTTTCTTTTATGTCTATAGATAACTTTATGTAAAATTTTATTGCATATTACACTGTGTCAAATCTTTGCAATGTTAGCTACAATAAAAATATTTATAAAACTATTTACTATTTTAAGAATACATTAAAATATAAAAGACCAAGAATAAAAAAGAAAACAATATCTAGATTTTTTTTTCCAAGTTGGGGAAAAATGGGTCTCCAAAACAATATAGAACATACATATTTAACTTAACATAAGCTTAGAAATAGTTTGAATTACTGAACTTTGAAGTTACTTTTACTTTTTATTAACTAGTTTGTATATGCTGTTTCCAGAAAAATGAGAAAACACACAAAATAAGTTGAAGTACTAATTTGGCATATAAGTTTCCAGTCTTTTTACACTAATAATAATTCATATAAACAAAAAAACA